GAAGGACGAAAACAACGACTGGATAATGACCGAGTTCGTTGGACTCAGACCGAAGATGTACGCGTTGCGCGTAGACGGGAAAAAAGACGAAGAAAGCAAAGGGTGTAAAGAGCAGCGTCGCGTCGTAGCGCGAACGATAACGTTCGACGATTACACCCGATGCTTGTAGTAGGGGAGGCCAAGCGGGGATTTTGGGATTTACTCGAGCACGTCAGAATAACATAAAGGGGGAAAGCTTGCACCCTAACAAGTACCCCCACCAAATATTAAACCTCTATTTAGAGCCGGGGGTCCAGGGGATTAGTAAATAAAAAAAATCGATCGAAAACTCGAGCGCGTTAGATTAAGGTATGGTGTGTTAATTACATGTAGAAAAGTGTATATTTCAAAAATCTGACGCGCTCGAGGAAATTTTTTTTTTCCCCTTTTTTTGACCCCTTCCTACAGCTAACCCCACCACGTAAATCGTCAGATTATTATTTATCCGTTATCAGAAACACATGGGTCGCTTACACTATTAATATCTGACACGCTCGAATATTTCATTGTCACTGTTTTTTTTGAAAGCCTGTACACGCTCCCCCCACCACTGAAACGGCATACATCATATAACCTTTTTTTCTTTTTAGCATCTAATCTTCACAATCCAATAGGTCCCCACGACGCTCGAGTAAATCCACATTTAGCCTCTCGGCCTCCCCTACTATTGAACGAGGAGATTGAAATGACGCACAAGCAGTCGTGTATAAGGTCGAAGTTAAGCCCATGGCACATAGAAAAACGTAAGGCCGTAAACGTAATCAGTAAGCGAATTGATCAATCACAGTTGAGAACGTAAGCGGCGGCTGCTTACATTCTCAACTGTGATTGGTCAATTCGCTTACTGATTACGTTTACGGCCTTACGTTTTTCTATGTGTCATGGGCTTTACACCAAGTGTATATACGTTGTCGGAGAAGAAAATCGCTCTGAGTCCGTACGACGACAAACGGTACGTGGTACCGGACTCGATGGAGACGTTACCGTGGGGACATTGTCGGATACTATTATAATATAGTATCGTTTGCCATTCTTATATGTATTTTTTATATGTATTCTTTTATACTTTATTTTTTATACAGGGTGTCCCAGTAACTCTGTTACAAGGCAATATCTCTGTTACCGTTAATGATATGCGAAAATGTCTAAGGAAGAAATTGTTTGGTTCGGAGGGGAACATGTATTGGTCACCTTGTTTCTTTTCTAGGTGGAGGCGCTAAAAAGATATGAAGGTCACCTCTACTTTTTTAAATAGAATTATGTAATTTTTTTTAGATAACGTGATTCCTCTAATTATTTTGCATATAAAAAGGTAGAGATACCAAAAAACCAATAGTTTTCGAGATATTTTACACTTTATTTTGATACATATTGACACAAAATGTTAAATAACTCGTAAACTGTTGACTTTTTGATTATTGTACCTTAATACTTTTGTGAACAGAATAATGAGATGTTGTGCCGCTACTTGCGACACGGGATTCGGGATCCACCAAGGATTCGGGAACAGCCAAATAATTATTAACTCACTTTTCTTTTATGAATTTTAATTATATTTGAATAAACTTTATTATATAATCACAATTATTCACAGAGTAATTATTTCACATATATCACTTACATTACGCGTGTCGCGATCTAATTCGTGTTCGAGCAGAGTGACGCGCTTCACTTTGATAAAATTACTGACTCCACTCTGCATCGGTCATTTCTTATTTATTCAGATTATTGTGGTCTCTGACCTTCATATTCGGCGCTTCTCGTCAGCGTTCCCATAATCGGTCGAGGGCGTGATCGCGTAATCGCGTCGCGCTCGCGATTTTAATATTATAATAAACTTATTACTAAACTTATTTCTTGTCTTCTTTATTTCTCGGTTATGGCGCAATTGTCACTTGTGCAATTTAGCACTCGTGACAGGGATAAATCAAATGGTGTAAAGAAAACACATAGTTGCGTATTTAAAAAATTATCCATTTTGTATAAATATTTTTTTTTAAAGCAACGCGCAAACCGGTGGGGGAGTGCGGGGACGCGGCACTAGACACGGCGTTGATCGCGGTGGGTTTCGTGTAGCTGATTTTGTTGCCTCGGATTCGTTCGTGGGTGGTTCTACCGCGGTTGGTTTGTTTGTTATGGTCGTTTCGTTAAGCGGTGCTGGTGGTGTATTAATATCGTCTTGTAGTAAGGTGGTGGAAGGTTCCGGCGCTCAATAAATGGACGGATCAAATTCGCCCTCAGCCACGTACTCCCTTAAGACTTCACGTATACGGACCTTAACTCCTCCCCTCTTGCTCCTTATGCGACGCTTATGGTATTTTCTAGGCATCTATTGAATATGAGATATTGATAATGTGTTCGCCGGTTAATAATTTCAGGATGCGAGATATATTGGAAGACTAATATTCTAAGTATAAGATAAATTTTCTTGAGTATAAAGGTGTTTTGAATATAAGAAAAATATTCTAAACAAAATCAAGATTTCAAATGTAGACTCAATGTTTCGATTATCAGCAAAATATTCTAAGTATTATACTTAATGTTTCCGATACAAGAACTAATTTTTCTCGGTATAAGAATAGTATAATATGCCTGGTATAAGTGTAAATACTCCGAGTATAGGACTATGTATTCCCAGTGTACGAAAACATTCTAAGGTTAATTATTCCTGGTATGAGAGTAGATATTCCGTGTATCAGACTCAATATTTTTGGAATAAAAAAAATTATTCCAAGTATGAGATAAATTTCTGAGTGCAAGACTTTAGTATTTCGAGTAGATTTAACGTTTTGAATATCAGTTTTTAGATTTCAATAGTAAGATTTATATTCGCGGTATGAAGGAAAATATTCTATGTTTTAACGATTAATATTCGTGATATGAAAGAGAATATTCTAAGTGTATAATATGCCTATGAACAAGAAAATATTCTAAGTATATGAGATAAATCTCTGAGTATAAGATTTTTAATTATTTCGAGTAGCGACTTAATGTTTTTTAAAGATCGGTTTGGGGATTTTAACGTTCGCGACTTAAGATCTACATGGATTAGGAGATGAATGTTATAATACAATGATTCCTGAACGCCGTGAAGGCGCGGACAAGAATCGGCAAAGTATCTGGAAGAATTTTTAAGACTGATTCTAAGACGCCAGAAAGGCGCGGACCAGAATCGGCTGGGAGAGTGATACAATTTGAAGGAAGTCGCAGAAACACCTTTCGGCGCGAGGTATAGTTACCTTGTCTGTGACTTGTTGTAAAGGAATAAGGTACGTTCCGCTAGAATTGTCGCGTTTATATATGGTTTGTTTGTCTCGCGGCAAGGGGATGTTATTTCCTTGGATGTGTTATGTCCGTGTGAGGACGTTCTAGAAAATTCTTCGATTATTAAATTATCGATTTTAAGCTTAATTGTGCGGAATTTTAATGCGCGAATGCAAAAGATCTATTCTGAATTGTATACTATTTATATAGCTGCGCTCGCTTTGCGCCAGTTGCAGCAGGGCGTGAAGAAACAGTACACAAAGCTGCACTGTTGTTTTTCATGCCGTGTTTTCGGTAACCCATTTTTTCGAGCAATTCACTGAGAATTGAGTGCTCACGAAATTCTATGTTTATTTAGGGCTTTATTTTATAGTCGCGAGTATCAATATCTGTCGGGGTAAGTGTGTAAACGTTTGTTCGTGTCTAGTGGATGTATTCTAGCTTGCACATGGGTGCATTGTCGCGGTTTTTATTGATTTTTGCAGAGAACAGCTAATTATTCGTACAGTTGGTTGATCTGACTTATTATTTTTACGGCCGTCTTTCTATTGGTGGCGATGGTTTCCCGGATTTATGCGTTTTGGATGCATTTTTTCTGTTAGATAGTTGGCGCAGTTATTCATAATTTGATTTCGGTCGTTTTGATGCGTACTACAACAAGTCATGACTTTCGCGTATACAGTTCTCTATGGCTTGTGTTACTTACACTATCGTATGTTCGTGTGATTTGTGTAGTGACGAACGGGCTGCCGTATTATAGGCGTACCGGACGTTACAATGTATCAAAATAAAGTGTAAAATATCTCGAAAACTATTGGTTCTTTGGTATCTCTACTTTAATACTTTTATATGCAAAATAATTAGATGAATCACGTTATCTAAAAAAAATTACATAATTCCATTTAAAAAAGTAGAGGTGACCTTCATATCTTTTTAGCGCCTCCACCTAGAAAAGAAACAAGGTGACCAATACATATTCCCCTCCGAACCAAACAATTTCTTCCTTAGACATTTTTGCATATCATTAACAATAACAGAGATATTGCCTTGTAACAGAGTTACTGGGACACCCTGTATAATTGTATATGTATTTTTATATATATATATATATATATATATATAT